ATGTTTCATGGAGTTGTGAAACTCTTTTCTACTAAATACTCCCATTTAACTCCTATGAGTGGTGGCTTTGGCCCTGAGGTTTGCAAACTCTGAGATATTCCTTTGGGGTTCACAGGATTTGGGGCATCCTCAATCTTGTTTTAAAACTCTTTGAGTCTACAGCTTCTTACAACTGGGAGTACTCAGCTCCCAGGATGGTTCCATCCTCTGATAGCCCCTCACTCCGCTGTGTGGGCTTGTGTTACTGAGCTCTAGTCAGCTTATTTCTTGATGTTCAGCATTTCCCCGTATAGCGTTTGAAGGATTTTTGTTGTTGTTGTTATTCTCCTCTCTTTTCCATCTTTTTCCTTTTTCTCTCTTCTTTTTTTCCTTTCTTCCTTCTTCATTTCCTCCTTTTCCTTCTTTCTCTGCCATGGGCTTCATTTCCTAGATTTTCTTTGCACTGTGTGAGCTCTTTTGCTTGTATGATGAAGGTTGTTACTTCTCCTAGAACGAACTTGCCTTTGATGTACTTCTGCCTTCAGTTTCTGTTCTTGTCCCAATACTTTTCTAGCGAACACCCATCTGAGTTCCATTTGAGTCCCACCTTTTCTGTTTACCCTCATTGCTCACCTCCTTCTTATAGACTTGCCCTTTTCCACGCTGTGCCTTTTCACAGGTGGGAGCCTGTGCTTGTGCACTGGTGTGGTCAGCTGATGACTCTCTCCAACTCACTAGAGACCTCTGCTCTCCTCTGCTTGTGAGCTGCCCTCACTGCATTCAAACTGGCTTATTTGCAAGTGACTTCCTCTCTTCTTCAGGACTTCAGGAGTGCATGGTGTATGCAATAACGTTTAGAGTTTCAAGAATGTCAAATAATATTCTACCTGTTTCTTCAACACTCAATGCTGCAGTATTCTTTTCCTTTGAGCAGTCAGGTTTTCTCTCCTTCTTCCTTTCCCCCTCTCCCTCTCCCTTCTGTGTGTGTATGTGTATATGTGTGTGTGTATATGTGTGTATGTACTTTGCCCAATGTCCCACCCTCCACTGTGGTGTTGCTCATCGGCTTGGCAGAGTAGAAGATATAGTTGTGGGCCTTTTCCCTTCTATCAGCTCCATTTTCAACCTTCTTCTAAATTTGACATGCACAAACTCAAGATGCTCATTGAGGCTGCTCTGCTGGGCAGATTTTCCTTATCTTAATTGTAGGTCAAACATTAATCTGTAATTCCCAGGTCAGACGCTAGAGGACTCTTCCTTATTCACCCTTACCCACAACGAAACAACTTACTATTGTTCCTAGCAGTCAGTGCTGTGTTACTGTCCCCAGCTTTGTTATTCTAGAGCATTCCATTGCTGACTTTTAATACACTAATCTATAATAATTTGGAATTTCTAACCTAGAATAACTGAAGAGAATGGAAAATGAGAGAATGGAGCAGAAGTAGTTGTGCCATGAAGTGATAGAAAGAGGTAGTAGATGCTAATTTGGCTATTGTAAAACATGTGACTCTTTAAGTTTTATTAAAACTGGGGTCCTGAGTAGAAGAACAGAAAAAAAAAAAAGAAAATTGTATTTTTATTATATTCCTACATTTTTTTTTCCAGTTTGGAAATAAATACTAGGCCCAATGAGCACATTGATATTTCATTTCTGGATTATCAACTTTGTAAATTTTTTAAAAAATAAATCCCAGATTCTGGGAATGTGCAGAGGCATGGATCCCACCTTTCTTCCTCACAGTGAGTTAATCCATTTTGCTCTCCCTTCATGGATACTAATTAGAATTGCTAGCTGGTGATGGTAAGGTTAATTTTTGCCCCTGGATAAAGTCACAATTATACTAATAGTATGGTTTGAAAATAAGGTACACACAGCTGTTACATGTTATGCCAATTATGTACATCAGCCTGTTTCTAGATCAATTAGCCTCATCCCAGAATTCTACCTGAAAGATGTATTTTATGCACATAACATTTCCCACTGTGAGCTGAAATCTGCACGATGGTGCACAGTGAGCCAGCATTTTTCCTGAAAAAAGTTTGACTTCTGGTGACAGGATGAGGGTGTGCATATGAGGACAACATCCTGGACTGCCAAGCAGGGATAGGCAACAGGAACAGACTGTCCTGCCTCCTAGAACCTTGTGCTATCAAATTCTTATTTGGTCATTTTTCCCCAACAAATTGTGTTTACTGAGTTCTTGGTAATATTTCTTCTCATCAGCAAATGATGACCTCTGGCATGTGGGTGTCAACAATTTCGTCTTTATAATGCTTTGCTTCTTTCAGTTTATTTACATGTCTTCAAGCAACTATCAAATAGACTGTCAGTCTCTTCACCTAGGGTCACCACTCTCTGATATGGTCTAGTTTATTTGTAAAAAAAAAAAAAAATCAAATTATTACACAGAAACTCCTTTCTGCCCCCCAGTGCCTTCCTCAAGGATATGTGGAAGACTCCCAAGGAGGCATCTATCCTAACACAGTGTATCTATTTTAAGGAGTAGGAACTGGATGTTTTGTCTCTCCTGATGCTGTAGGGAAACAACAAAAAGGTCAGGTGGTTTCTGGAAAGAACATTCTGCACCCACCCTTTTGTATATTTGTGAAACTTGCATATCATCCTTTACAAAATGTGGCATTTCAACTAGAAGTGAACATCTTTAAGCCAAGTAGCCCAGCAGAGAGAGAAAATCACAAGCAGAAAGGGTTTGAATGAGCTCAGCTCCCTGTTTCCTTCCTGAAGGCCTTGTAAAGATTCCTTTAGGTGGCTGACAGATGAAGGAAAGGGCTGCCTGCTGGCTATTCAGGGCCCACTTGAAGGAGTTTTATTGTTGCATGAGGTCACCTTGACCTGTCTTTGGTAGAAGTATGCTAGTAGGTCACCATCTTTTCAGGAGTTCAGAGCTAGCAAAGCAAGTTCCAGAGCAGACTGTGTGCAGTGATAAAAGCCAAATGCTGAAGTCCCAAGTCTTAATGACACTTGCTCACTTCAAATCAATGAAAGATGATCATACGTAAAGCCAAGTAACTTAGGCTCTGGACAGTGACACTGTACTGAACTTGTTGGTCCTCTTTTTGGTTACCGTGAGGCGAGAGTGCACTTGAGACAATTGAGGTGGGTCCCCAAGCTCTAGAAGCCCAGGGAAGGGCCTTCCAGTTGTTGGGAAGCAGTAGGACTAGTAGAAGACGGTGCAACATGTGAAAAGGGGAAGGCAAGACCCTTGTCACCCTGTGCAAGCCATGGAGCAGCTGGATCCTGGGTCCAAAGTTAGGAAATAGAAATGTCTGATGTACTTCAAGGTAGGGAAATGGTACAACTTTATCCCTGTGGAGCTCTCAGAGGCTCTGACCTCCTGATTTTATTTGGCAGTGGTAGTAAAAGGCATAGCAATCCACACTGGGCATAGTGCTGACTGGTGAGGACTCAGGCCTGATTCTCCATCTGGGGGTGAGGGGCAGGCAGCGCTCTCTAAGTGTTTATGGTGAACACCAGGCTGATTGATAGTGATTCTGCTACCAGCTCCAAGCAAGAAGGGAAGATCAGATGGAAAGCAACAAAATACCTAATTTGGAGCCTGAGAACTCAAAGGACAACCTCAGAAAGCTGCAGAAGAGTCTGCTCTCAGGTAAGTTGGAGGCAGCCATGCCTGAGCAAACTGTGGAAAGGAAGGATGCCCTCATGTTATAAACAGAAACATTAGTGGTCCTTGTCTCCTCAAGTCACTGCAGGAGCCCACTGTTGATTAAAAATTTCCTGTGTTAAAAAAAACTATTTTCTGCATTCCTGACTCCCCTCCCACACACAACTATTGACTCCTACTATCTCATAGTCACTCATCAAAACTGTATTTCTATTTAACTTAAAGATTAGATCCCTTCCTCCATTGAGGGACATCTAGGTTGTTTCCAGATTCTGGCTATTACAAATAAAGCTGCTATGAACATAGTTGAGCAAATGTCCTTATTGAATGCCAGGGCATCTTTTGGGTATATGCCTAGGAGTGGTAAAGCTGAATCTTGAGGTAGCACTATTCCTGATTGTCTGAGAAAACACCAGATTTATTTCCAAAGTGGTTATACAAGGTTACATTCCCACCAGCAATGGAGGAGGGTTCCCTTTCTCCAAAACCTCTCCAGCATGTATTGTCACTTGAGTTTTTGATCTTAGCCATTCTGATGGGTGTGAGGTGAAATCTTAGGGTCATTTTGATTTGTATTTCCCGAATGACTAAGACTGTTGAGCATTTCTTTAAGTGTTTCTCTGCCATTTGATATTCCTCTTGAAAATCCTCTGTTTAGTTCTGTACCCCATTTTTTAAATTGGATTACTTGGTTTGTTGGTGTTTAACCAAGTGGGTTTCCTAGTAAGAGGTACAGAGGCTATCTCTGACATGAACTCAGTAGTCAGCTCTTTGATCACCTTCCCTTGGGAAGTACAGCCTTGCCTGGTCACAGAGGAAGATGATGCAGCAAACCTTGTGGAGACCTGATAAGCGAGGGTCAGATAGAAGGACTAGGAAAAGGGCATAGGGAGAGAAGAGGGAGGGCAGGTAGAACTGGGAGGAGATGAGAGAGAGAGCTGCAGCAGGGATACAAAGTGAATACATTGTAATAAATATATAAATAAAATAAAATTTAAAAAAGATTAGCGATGCTATTTAGCAAGAAGTTGGGGTTTGGCTGCAGAACACATAAAAGGTTACACACTTTACCTCTGAATGGACAAGTTAGTGTCTGGATACTGTGTCGTATCCATGCTGTATCTCAAATTACTATGAATCTTACATGGCTTGGTTTGTTTGTGTTTAAGTCATGGTGTAGTATTAGTGATGAGAAATTTCTCAGAGATCTCAGTTATCTGGCCTCATAAGTCAATTTATAAAAAATTCCCACAAAGCCTGGGGACCATCTCGGTCTGTTGTGTTTTACTGCTTAATTAGCAAGTTGTCAAACGTGGTTCTGTGAGGCACAGAGCGATGCCTTTTTTTTTTTTTTTTTTTTACCTGTTCACTTACTTTTTATCGGGATAATGAGCTGTGGAATGACAGGCAGAATCTTGTTTCCCCCGTGTTCCAGCATGTCATGGATTCCTTGCCGAGCAAAAAACTCATAGGGAAATGTCATTTCGCAAAGCCCATCAAAAAACAGAGGCAGATAATGATGATAATCCAGCTTCTCGATTTCTACCTGGAAGCAGAGAGAAGAAACACTGTGTGAAAACAGCGCACAGGGCCAGCTGTGCAGCTCTGTCCTGTGCTTTGGGGAAGACACTCCTCAGTCCTTCGTGCAAGTGTGATTGATCCCTGCACTCAGACTCCTGAAAGGGAGCCAGATGCCTTGATCTCTTAGCAACGAAGGTACGTTGTCAACTTTCAAGTCCCAACAGTCAAGTGTGTTGGTCATATATCATCTACAGTGGGGGCATATTAATGATTCATTCATTTTGTTAGTTTTTTTGTTTGTTTATCTGTTTGTTTACTATTTGGTCCAAGTTTGATCTTGATGGTTCGGATTCAAGATAGACATTGAAAACACATGTGTAAGAACAAAATCTAACCAGCTGAAATAGATTGATAAGCAAAATTCTGATAAGAATCTAATACTATATATATAATATATATATGTAATAGAAAATATATACCTGGCCAATAAGGCAATTAGGACCACATGTGGTTTCCTGGAGCATGAGTGACAGTATAATGCTGGTGCCATCAAGACAACAAGGAATTCTGACCCTGCATGGCTCTTTTGGCAGACAAGGTAGTCTCCCTTTGCTTGCTTCTTTAGGAGCAGAGATGTGTCTGTCTCCCCACTGCTGCATCCCTCTCCCCCAATATCACAAAATGACTTCCTTCCAGACCCTTGCAACAACCTTCTGCACCATTGGGTATAGTTGGGGAAAGGGTACTAAACTTTAGGGCAGAGAATTCAGAAGGTGTGTGAGGAAATCATGCACATGGAAGAGACTGGTTTTTGCCCAGCTCTCCACTTTGTAGCAAAGCCAGACTGACTTATCACTAACAAGGCGCTGGCATGATAGTGACTCAACACAGACATACTCCCCTACTCTGTAGGATGGAAGTGTCAATACAGTGTCAATTTCCTTGTTTCCAAGTCTTTGTCAATGCCCCCAGTTTCCTATGATCACCTAATTACATGATCTTTGAGAAATGCTTGTCATATTAATAGGACGCTTTCTCTCTAAGCCTTATGGGGTCTATCAGCTCATGTCTGCAACCTCCAGGATGTGGACAACGAGAAAACAACAGAGCACTTCTTTTAGGATATGCTGTGTGTCCAAGAGAATCTTAATCTAAGTCTACTGTTCCCCAAGCCAGTCACAAATGTAGGTAGACACAAACCTCGGATGCACTTTATGTTCCTTGTCAATTAACAAACCTTACTTCATTCCAGTAAAAGTATATGGAATAGTTGCTAATGTTCTTAAGGATTTCTGAACATTTAAGGCTATTTTTGGAGTGATATGTTACACTATATGGGAAAATTACTGCTGTGTCACTTGGATAAAAATGGTACAATGTTATCTATAATTTAACCTTGTCACCTGATTCATAGTCAATGTCTACTATACTATTTTTTATTTCTAATTTTAATTATATATAAAAATTCTATGTCACTGACCACAGATATTCTTTGTTACTAAAAAAATTTTTTGTTTATTTTCTTTTAGGACGTTAAACTTTTACAGGTGCCCTATATAATTATTCAATTTTGAATTTTAATATGATCTAAAACTTTACTTTCATAGGTTAACTTAAGTCATTTATAGATATAGCTATGTCTGATTTAATGTCTGTCATTTCTATGGTTTCTGGTTTGATTTTTCATCTACTTTTCTATTTCATGGATTTATTTGGTAGACTATGTTTTATTTGCATTGGATATTTTTGCAATGCCTTTGAAGGTAGAGAAGCTTGTTTAAATGCTTTATTGCAGTTATCCTTTTCTTTTTCAGATATTTTCAGATATATATTTTTAAGGAGAAGAGAAAGCTAAAAATCTCTTAACAAGATCATTGACATGTCAGTTTTTTGGGGGACCCTTCTTTTGCTTCCTATGATTTGCGGCAATAACGCTATGAATAACAGCGATGCCAGAGTTCATGATGCCAGGCACTATCAACACTGGGCCAGTGTCTTTAATGTAACAATGTTAAAAGCTTTAACTAGTGTCCCACTTTTCAATACTGGAAACCTGAGGCACAGGGTGTTTAACCAACTCCCTTAAGGTGCCTACAGCTAGTAAATGCAGGCAGTGAATGGGAGCTGGAAGTCAAGCTCAAGCCATCCAGGTGTGAGGAGCTGCACTGCCTTCAGGCTTTGTTGTTGAACACATTGAGGCTCTACACTGCTATAACCCAGTGAACTCTCTTTTGTCTTTATGGCTTTGTTTCCTTTATCATTACCAATGAAACTGGATGAAGTCTAATCTAATATTAACATCACTGTATCTGACTTGCTTCGAGTGTGTTGTTTATTCTTTTACTTCTTTCCTTCTGAGGGCCTCTCCTGTCTACTTATGGTGGGATTTGCTTTCCCTCTTCCATTTTATATTTCTTTAAATGACAGATAATTGAGTACCAATATGACTCTGTTTTCAAATGTGTTGTAAAGAAAATTCATAAAGTAAAATAGAAAAATGAGGAAGCAGTTGAAGACAGAGTAATTGAATGAAAGACTGAGTGATAAGATTGAGAAAGAAGGGGGTTATTCTATGTCACTGACCACAGCCATTCTTTGTTACTAGAAGTTGTGAAGAGTTCTTTTCCTGACTTGTTTGCTACCTGGCACATCAGCTGTCAGTCCACATCTGCTGCTTTCACAGTGTTCAACAATTCACCATTGCAGTTTGAGAACACAAACTTCTTTAAATGCGATAGGTACGGTCCACGAGATATAAGGTGACATCTACATGCAATTTTCTGTTTCCTTTTGTCTTCTAGGGGCCCATTTTATGAGTACAATAATATTGTTGTGTTTAATTTGCCTCGGCTTTGGTTAGCCAGCGTGGGTCCACTTGGCATAGAAGCTTCATGTGCATCTGTTTTGATAATATTTTATCTGACTTTTTTCTTTATTGTCCTTCCTTCCTTCTCACCCCCTCCTCTTCCATTCCCTTTTCCCCTAAATTTCTTCTAGGAGCAATAACATTATTTCCACAGAAAAGTATTAACATTTTTTTTTCTAGACTGACTTCAGTATCTCCCTATTTTTACTCTGTTTACCCACTTTCTCATTGAGTCCCTGATTTCTTTTCATCAAGACCACCAATGATTACCTTTTATCTAATCCTTTTATCCCTCTTCTAATTGAATTAGTATAACACAGGTAACCCCATGAACTTACTATCTTCCCTAGGCCTTCTAGTACCACATCCCCAATGCTGAGTCTCTCCCATTCTTTTGGGTGCTAGACTTCCACCACTCCTGATCAACGTCCTACAGAATCTCCCTGACCTGTGTTTGGATGCCTTTCCATCACACTCCCCCTTCTAGCATGCGCTGTACTTTGCAGAGTCACCTACCTTCACTCCTCCCCACACAGACACTTTTTTTGGATGCACCTTCCTTAGAGCCCAGGTTGCCAGGTGTCTGGGTGGCTTAAAAACAGGTATTTGGGGCTGTGAAGATAGCTCAGCTGGTAAAGCAAAAACCATGCAAGCATGGTGACCTAAGGTAGATCCTCACACTCACATGAAAAGCCAGATGTAGTGTGTCCAGAGCCAAGTGTGGTGGTGTGCAACTGTAATCTTAGCCCTGGACAGGCTAAGAGATATGATGATTTCCAGGGCTTGTGGCCATGGATGAATCGGAGAACACAGGTTTAGTGAGAGATTCTGTCTCAAAAACCAAGGTAGACATCTGTAGCCAGATTTTTGGCTACTTTGTGGGTTTCTTTTTCTACCACCCTATGGATCCTTCCAACCCCCAGCATTATAATGGAGAGAAAGAAGGTTAGAGAGGAAAGGGGTCACCAATATCATTAGATTAATTCCTACTGATTAGGGGTGTCCAGTTCCTTGGGGCAACTTTGATCTTCATCATCAAGATATTCAATTACTTCTACTTATATCTTTGTGCAGAATCACTTGACAAACAGCAACCAATCACAACAATGGCAACCAACAACGAGCACCCAGTGCCCAGCACCCAGCACCCAGCACCCAGCACCCAGCACCCAGCATCCAGCAACCACCAGCAGCAGCTGCTGTAGTCCTTCTCAGGGCTCCATCATTTATATGCCCTCTCAAGAGTTCCCAGAATTCCTAATGTCATACACTTGCAGAAACTATCTGCAAGTTGGCAAAATAACACACCTGTCAGAGGACAAGGCAAATCATAGCCAGCTGCTGTGAACAATCCAAAGCACCCCCACACCCCACACGTGGGATTAAAACAAATACATATTTCCGTAACATTTCTGTGTTTAAATAAACCAAAAGTTCATGCTACATTTTTCCTTTCTATTTTAATCCATTAATTGTGCTCTGTTTAGTAAGAAATTATAAACAGACATTTTTAAATAAACTAAATGCTTTTTAGTTTAGTGGCCAAGATTTTCAGGAGACCTCTCCTGCTCATTTCTAGTTTTTGTAAGTTTTTTTTTTTTTTTATAGGGTTTTTCTGTGTAGCCTTGGGTGTCCTGGAGCTTCCTCTGTAGACCAGGTTGGCCTTGAACTCACAGAGATCCACCTGCCTCTGCTCTCTGAGTGCTAGGATTAAAGGTATGTGCCACCACCACTTGACTTAATTTTTATAAGTTTGGGTGTTATCCACAGCTTTTCATTTCCTGTGGAAACATAAGAAAACCAGCATTCTCCAATGCAAAACTTTTGCAGGTTTCTATTCTGTTGTTAACACATCTCATAATATATAGGCTAATTTAATTCCATAGTTTTTGTTTTGTGTCTCTCACCTGCTGTTATTCTTTTCACATTAACATTCAGAAAATTTAAAGTTAACAGAGCACTTTTTAGTTTATCCCTAGGGGTATTTATTCTTCCTTTTTGTTTTATAAGCATTTCTTTTAAGGTTCAATTAGATCCTTCCAAAACTGCTTGTTCTGTAGAATTATGTGGTATACCTGTAATGTGCTTTATATTATAATAAGCAAAGAGTTACTTCATCTTACAGAAGACATATGGGGGCATTGCCAATCTTAATTTGT